GAATCATTGGAGCTCTTCGGAGAGTAGCTTTTAGTACTTGCCCATACTCCTTTCTACTTTTTCTGCTTTTACCCAAATGTACTGATGAACAAATAGGTAGGATGTAGTATTTGTTGCCAGAGAAGCATACAGATGTCATCAGATAATTTTCACAGCCCCATCTGAGCATTTAGAGACAAGAAAGGGAGGCAGAATTAAGTGAAGAAAACAGTAAACATTAAGGATTTCCTAGATCTTGCAGAAGCTGATGATATCACAGAAACTGGAGTGATCCCACTGAGTTAGAAGATTGAACAAATAAGAAAGGATGGAGTTCAAAACAGGTGGAAATAGTCGTTGGAAGGCTTATGAGTTAACTCTACTGTGCCTTTGTTTTTGACCATTTCACTGGACGCTTCCTGATGGATAGAACAAAGCAGAGTTGGTTAATTCTTTTTTTTTTTTTTTTTTTTTTTTTTTTTTTGAGTGGAGGCCTGCAAGGCTGTACGAATGACTGTCTTCCTTTTGAGCCAACATTTGGGCAGTCATAGTAGTGGGACTGTTGACAATATGAAAGGTGGGAATGAAAGTTTTTCTGTTGAATGGATATGATGGAAAGTCTATGTCTTAGAATGAAGTACAGATATAATACTCAGTAGTGGAGGTCATAAAAGCCAGTTTAACAACCATCAGATTTTAGATATGTACTTTAGCTGAAAAGTGTGTATAGTTTTTTTTCTTTCCTTGCAAACTCATGTGCAGGAATCATCAGTTGTCATTATATTTACATATCCTTAAGTATACATATACAAGACACTCTTCCACAATGCAGCTAAAAGATAATGGGTAACTATATAGAAGACTTCAAGAAGGGCTTCACCATCTTTCCCCCCCTCCATTTACAATTAATGTGTGTAATGACATATACTCTCTTTCCGTACACAACTTGCTCTGGTTGTGTACCTGTGGTATTTACGCACTGGCCACCCTCAAGACTTCTCAGGCATTTTTACTCCTTTGAGAACACTCTCATTGAATGTGCTCTTCCTCACATGTGAGTACCTGAGTTGCATTTTTTTGCACTTGCTTTCTCATTCATACACTGCTACACATACAAATGTGTACCTGTATACTTTCTGTTCTGTGTACAAAGTGCTGAACAAGGAAGTACTCAGTGGACAAGTCTACACAGGAAGCTTTTGTGTAGCTATTTAATAGGTGCAACAGAAAATGCTAGGAGGAGCAGGGAAAAGGCAGTGAATTAAGAATAAACAGATGCATCCTGCAACAAGGGGCCAGAATAATGTTGGAGGTTGCACCTCCTGCTGGAGGAAAAAATGATGTTTGCAGGAGAAAGGCTTAGAACTACCTCTCCAAAATGATGGCAAAGTGAGTTCCTACCAGATGCTGCCATCATTACTCTTTTCCCATCTGTTTTTGCTTATTATTGTAATGAGTTTTGCTCTTTCAAGTAGGATAAGGTCACAAGTGAGATAAGATCAGCTTTTTTTTGGCACAACCAAGATGATCTGATTGCGGTTTGGACTGCAGCTTCTAAATTCACCTTGGGTATTAACTTCTGGGCAAAAAGAACTGAAAGTGCTAATGTGGCCAAAAAAAGAAAAAAAGAAAAAAAAGAAAAAAAGAAAAGCCATAGTTAAAGAACATTCCTGTCTTGTTGCATAGACTACTTTGCCCCTTTTTTCAGTAGTAAATTCCCCTTGAATCTCACTTCCACTAATAGTACCACACACATGCTTGAAATCATTGGTTTGGTGAATACTATTCAGAGAAACAGAGGAAAAAGTCTGGAAGATTATATAAAGTGGGGCTATATTGTGGTGCACTCTCCCTTCCCATGCCTTGCTTCTCTACCCAGGACATTTGTTTACATGGGATCACCTACATTTTAGTGTTGCAACATTTGGATAGCCTGCCATGGCAGGTGATGCCTGTAATTCCTGCAAGTTCTATCTCCAGGGCTCATCTCAAACCCTGATCTGCCTATCATCACCCTTCCTCAGTGGACAGAAGATGAAATGATGATGATAATAACACATGTAGGTTGTACTGCTTTAAGGAGCTGGGTAGCTCCTGTGAGCCAACTTGTTCCCCTCAGAGGTGTGAGTGAATGCTATCTCATGGATACTATAGCCACTGTATTGAGTTACCAGCCCCCATATCTCAGAGAAGTACAAGTGCATTGAAAATGAACAGTCTGACTGTGCAGCGTATTGATAAATGCTCCAAATTAATGGCACAACTATGGCTTTTTTTTTTTTTTTTTTAAACAAGTAGGTGAGATTGGTGAAAAGTTTGTGGTTTTATTGTAAAGGAAGGAAGCAAGAGATGGTGAATGACTGCTAATGCTCAGGTATGCTTACCTTTGCCTCTTCTGTCCAGTGGTGGGAGCAATGTCAGAGGGGTGCCAAGTGCCTGTGACCAGATGTTTAAATCTGTGCCAGTCTCCTTGGACAGGGATCTTGCTGTCATCTTAATGAAGAAACCAGAGAAAGGTTATTGTGTCTACTGATCATCTACATGGACATGCAAGTGTACAAGATTGGCAGATGTTGGCAGTGTATCCTGGGGTGAGGAGAAGCATTAGAGACAGCTGCTGTAAAGCTCATTGTCCTGATGATTTTTTTTTTTTGTCCCTTCTCAGTACAACTTGTTTGCAAACTGTAGGGCTTGACTACAGATGTGAGAGGAAGAACTAGAAAAATCTGCTCTGCTGTAGAGCAATGGGAGTACTGTGGGCTGGGTGTGGGATTTCTTGTGCTGCACTTTTTTTGTGCAGCTTTTGTGCTGCTTTCCTCTTGCCTCTGTTTTGCTCTGCACTCCAGCAAAAGGAAGCAGCCTTGAGGAAGCTTCCCTGCCCTCTTAATATTTTCCCACTATTCTCTACCTATTTTTAAAATGATGGCTGCTATTTTGGTACCTAACTGTACCACTTATTCAGAAGTAGAGGTCTATGTGTCCGAGTTATGCACAGTAAGACTTTTTCAAAGCAGTTGTTACCTTCCCTGTTTCGTATATAGCACTCTAAATAGCTCCTCTGATGAAACCTCTTCTCTCCCTTTTTGATTTATAAGAACTTTCTCCATGGGGGTCCTGGATTTTCTAGTTGAAAAAGTAGGAAGTAAATGAAAACTAGTTTACCTCACTCGAATCCACTCATGCTTCAACTTTCTTGACCAAACTGTCTGTGAGCCAGAATTCCTTGGTTATTTTTTTTTGTGTGTGTTTTTTTCTTTTTCTTTTTCCCCTTGTTGGATATGTGCTGTTTGCCCTTCATCAAACTGAGGAGTTTTAGCTTAGAGTTGAAAGTGGAGTCTCTGCTGTTGACGTTGATTTTTTGCATGGCAGATAGGTGCCGAGACCAGGGTCTGATGCAGGGACATTGTCTTAGAAGACATTGGAGAGTGAAGGGCCAGAGATGGTGCAATCTTGGATGACTGCCTCATCAAATCATTACTTGATAAACTGTAAACTACAAAACGCAGAATTGCTCAAGCTATCAGTAGGGGCAGAGAGGTACCAGAAGCCAGATTTTATTGCCAGTTGTGCGTTTTAAATCTGGAGTTAACTCTTGAAGCAAATAAGGCAGTACCTGATTTTCACAGTGACTGAGACTAGGATCTAATCTCATGCCCCGAGGAGGGATTGATAATTCTCACTGTGATGCTGTCCATTTAATACGGGAAGCCAACAATAACCTGCATTGGTGCAGACATAATGGGATAAATTCTTTCTCTAGGGAATCTGATTTTAAGTCTGGAAGATGCTTCTCTGCTGGGCCATTGCCACTTCCCTGATATAGGTCCCATTAGCCTCTCTGTGCATGTATCTGAATTTGTTGGGAGCTGTGGTGGACTGTGTTTTCTGGAAGAACTTCCCTGGGGACTCCTAATGCTACTTGAAAGCGTGAATTCTAGTGTTTCTGTGTTGCTATTGCACACCTCAGGCACCGCTTCATTTTGGTAGTGGACAAAGTGATGCATACCTTTGTATAAAATAATTATTTACCATGTGCTGTGAGTAGGCTGTCTGCTATTCAAAGTACTGAAGGGCAAAAACCGTTATGTAGTGATGTGAAAGAGAATGAAAGGCAGCTTTACAGCCTGCACTACGGGAAAATGAAATTCCAAGTGTCTGGCTTTGCAGAACGAGCATCCCTCACAAACATTACAAAATCCCAGGGGCTTGAGAGAAGGGCCCAAATGCAGGGACTTCGACTTTGGCTTGTGTGTGCTTTTTGTATGCCTGGTGCTCCTTTGTGCTTCTTTGAGATGGACTTTTAGTGCAGTAATGCACTCAGAAACTTCCCAAAGATGCTCCCTACAGAAGGTACTCTGAATGAGCTTGTTTACTATGCTAAGTGTTAATGATGAAACAGCAATCAACTGACATATGTACAGTCTTCGGGTAATTCAGACCCTTCCTGTCCATGGTGTCAGATGGTGCCCTTTTTTCTGCTTTAGCAGTGGATGAATGGGTAAAGAGTTTGAGAGCATTAATAGGGTAATTTGGGGGCCGGTTAAATGAACTGGGCACGGGGCAGCACATAAATGAGTATGAAATATCGAGGAGCTTTGGAAGAACTCCGAGTTAGAAGAAAAATCCTTAAAGGTTGAACTTCAAGGATTCTAGGGAGTATCAAGGAAGTAAGCAGCCGAGAAGCGCCTTACCTCCTGCCCCGGGACGGCTCTGCGCGTGCCGGCGAGCAGGTCTCGTTCCCTCGCCGGGGCCGAGGGACGGAAATCCCCCGCCTTCGTCGGCGCGGAAACGGCGGCGCCGGAGCGCAGGGAGCGGAGGGCGGCCGGCAGCCCCGTCCCGGAGGAGGTGTCCGCGCCGCCGCGGGACGCGCAGGGAGAGACGGCTTCTGCCGGAGCCGCGCCGTGCCGGGGCGCGGACCCGCGGTCTCTTTAAAAGCCGGGGCCGGGCGGGGCCGGACCGGGCGCGGCGGCAGGGGGCGGCGGCGGCGGCGGCGTGCGCGGGGCTCGGGCTGCTCCGGCACCGCGGCGCGCTCAGCCCTGCGCAGCTCCGCCCGCGGCCGCCCGCGGTTCGCACGTCTCGGCTCGGCTCTGCGCGGCCAGCCCAGCCCAGCCTCCCCGGGACCCCCGAGCCTCCGCGCCTGGGGCCACGCTGGAGCCCCTTGCCCCGCAGCGGAGGCGAGCCGCGACTTGGCGCGGCGGCCGGCGGCCGCCCGGCTGCGGAGGTGAGAGGGGGCGGGGGGCGGCTCGGCTCGGCACGGCGGGCGCTGCCCGGCCGGCAGCTCCGCGGGCAGGTTCCCGCTGTTCCCCCGTAAGAGAAGTGCCGGGGAGCGGCTTTCTTTCCTGGCCGCCCTGGCGGGGCTGGGCGCTGCCTGGCTCCCCCGGCCCCGGGACGCTCCGGCCCGGGCTGCTCTGCCCGACTTTTTGGGTAACGGCTCTTCTCGCTGTGGGGCTCTTCGGAGTGAAATACGGGGGGGGGGGAGGGGGCTCGCGAAAAAGAAGAAGGCGCTACGCTGAATTACGGCAGTGAGACGCTTAGAAAGAGCCTCTTGTTTGACTAAAGCTTAAGGATTTCTTTTCCGAAAAATTATTAACGAAGAACGAAGAGAGGCTGAAGATGAAAGTTTTATTTTTTTTTGCTTTAATATTTTTTTTCTTCTTCCAAGTCTTCGGATCTATTACAGTAGCGCCTTTCCTCCCCGCCTTCCATTTGTTTGTATTAATGATTTAGTAGCCGTCTTCCCTGAAAACTTCCACCGTGAGCTGCTGCTGTGGGTTTTCAGGCAGTGAGTGACCTTAAAGGTTGGTTCAATGCTTTCTTCGTGCAAGATATACGTGGAATACCCACTTTTTCATTTTTGTCTTTCAATTTTTTTTTTCCTGTTTAAAAAAAAAATAAATAAATAAAGATCACCTGCCTTATAATTTAAAAGAGGACATCGTGCAGTCAGGGAGTGATGTAATTCTCCTACCTAAGGGCACTGACTCTGGTGCTTTGCAGGTGACTTGCCTTTTGCTTACTCTTTAAATTTATTTTAATTGTAGTCCTTTGTAGCTAGGAAGTAACATATTTGAGCAGGTCTCTCCGGGGATTCCTTTTGTTAAAACAAATCTTTCTCTTTCAAACAAACAAACAAAATCTCATTTTTTTTCCCCCATCTCAAAGAAAACAATAAAAAAGATGAGGTGTGAGATCAGTGGCAGAAAAACCAAAGCACCAGGGAGGAGAAACCTGGGCTAAAAGCACCAAATTGTTTTTAAAAAGGGTACTTTCAACCTTCTGCTTTTTCAAGCTCTTTCCACCTTTCCGTGGAAAAACAGTTCAACGCTTCGTTGAATCTAGCTTTGAAAAATTATTTATTTTTTCTAAATATTAATTGTTCCTTCTGTATTTTTTCCTGCACGCAATTGTTCTGTAGTGAGCACACAGCCCTCCCAAAGCGGCGGGCATTGACGCGGCCGCTCACCACTCTCTCTGCTGATGGCATTTTTGGAGAGGCTGCTATTGAAGGGGCGAACTCTTACCCAAAGCTGCGAAAAGTCTAAGAGAGATGTTGGGTAGGTGAGGGGAAAAATTCATCCCGAAGGGTTTTGTTTGTCGGGGTGACACAGTCGGTTATTAATCGTAGCGTGAGCCGGGAGGGTGTTACGTTTGTCGTTGGTTTAAGTTAAAATGGTCATCAGTGTTAAGTTGGGCAAGTTTATCTGAGGGTGAATCTTGTTTTGGGGAAAGGATGTCGCAGAGATTATTGCTGTTGATTTTGAACCGGGCGTGCTTTTATCCGTTGAACAAACTCGACTATTGTAGAGCTCATTTTCCATTTTTCTATCGGTTTCTTTTTCGGTCTTTGTCAGTTTCCTAAACGTTTGTCTCTCTCTAAGAAAGCGTCTGGTTTTTGGGAGCAGGGTGTAGTAGGTGGGGTTGTTGGATATTAGGGGATAACGGGAGCAACAGGACTGTGTAAATTTGTTAAGGAAAAATAGAAAAATAAAAAGGAAAGAGGAAAAGAAGTTAGGAGGTGAGGATTCTCTTTCTGGAGCATTCGGGCACCTTCCGGTAGGGTATGTCTCTGCCTTTTAATTATTTATTTCACTTTTGTCCTTTAGAAAATGAAGTAGAGTGAAACCAAAATGAAATGAAATAAAACAAGAACAAGCATTGAGAAATAAATAAACGAAGAGAAGGGACTGAAAGCCCAACGCTTGCTTTCATCGTCCTGGTGGGAACGGCTTCTCGATAGACATGATATCTGCCGATATCAGCCCCGTTCCATGGCTGTAGCCTGGCCTCATTTTACGCTGCCTTTCCAGTGAACATGTTGACGTGCTGCTGCTTATATAAGGGGAAGAACAAATTCAAGCGGATTAGTGCTTAGGATTTTGAGATCGGCTACCCAGATCGCGTTGTGGGTTTTTTTCCTTTCCTTGGGGGAGCTGATGGGGAAGGCTGGAGAAAGATGGGAGGGGGAGAAATCGGGATATGCGGTTGGGAGAAGATGGGGGTGATGCGGGGAGCAGCCTACTCACATAATGTCTGCGTTGCATCCCTTTTTCTTTCTTTTTATAAAACCCATTATCTCTAAAAACACATTATTCTTCAGACCAGTCTAAAAAAAAAATAGTGGGAGGGGTTATGATAGCGAGGGGGTTTGGTATAGGAGTCATTAGACCCACTGCTGCAAAACCGAGATACAGAAATCCATCTGCACCAACATTTCGGGGGGAGGGAGGGCATAGAGAGGGGGAAGGGATGGATTGTCTATCTTGGATTAGCGAAGTGGAGCTTTGTATTCTTCATTTTCCTCCCCATTTTCTGCCATTTCCCTCCATCCCCCCATCTGCACGCCCGCTTTCCTCCTCCCAGCCTCCACCCCTCTCAAGGTTTCTTGTCCCTTGACGAGAAAATTCTGTGTTACAACCTGATGGCTCTGCGGTGGTTTTTAGTGCATCACAACAGTGGCACGATGACCTTTGCTTCATGCCACACAGATCTGGGCGACCGGCAGAACCGTGACCACAGCTCGGGCACACGTGCACATGCTCAGGTGCCTGTGGTCACGTACCTAGGATGGGCTGTGATTTAATTCTGATTTTTTGCGTGAATGTCTTTGTGTGCGTGTGTGTATGGCTGATAAACATTGGCAGAGGGTTGGAAGCACATTAAATGCCAAAGGCACGTCCATCCATTTCGCCTGCCCATCTCGCCGCTCTCTTTTCCAGGACATTGTGTCACACATCATGAGATTTTGTGCCGGGGAGGGGTGTGCCCTAAGTGGATGGAAGGGACCCGGGGCTTAGAGGCAGCACGTATGTACTGGGGAGGGAGGGAGAGATAAGGGGGATTGGACCTGACGATGCTAATAACATTATTTTGGTCAAATGAACGTCTGGTGATAATGATTCAGTGTAACCATCCGTGAAATACATGCTTGCGACACACTGGAATAAAGGTTACTCCAGGGAGCTCTAGCAGAGCCAGGCGTGCTCGGGGGAGTGAACTGTCCCCTTGACGGGGGGAACAAAATTCATAGGCACCCCTGGCCCCCTCCCTTCCCACCGCCTCCTCACGTGTCCGAGCTGGAGGGCATTGCAATGGAAAGAGGGGGTGGAACCAGCACCAAACAAAGCCTCCTGCCTTGTCCTCCCATGCCAGCCTCCCTTGTCCTCCTTGAGCTCGTCCGTGCTGTTGATCCAGACGATACGGGAACATCGCCATTTCTGTGCAGTCCCTGATGGAGGGTGGTGAATTGAAAGGAGGGGAAGCTGCTTATGTTTCTGTTATAGGATGTTCAGGAGGGACGTGGCTTTTTGGGTTTGCATGGAACAAGGGAAAAGGGTGGGAAGAAGAAAGGAAGACATAAATCCCTTTTTTCCTTCCTTCTTTCCTTCCTTCCCACAGCAGGAGCAAGAGGAAGGGCCCAGCAAGCCTTTGATGCACAGGGTGGGGAGTGAGGCTTGCAGACCTGCGTGGCACCTCTCTCCTTGGGTGTGGAGACCTTCCCCACTGGGTTGTGGTCTGCTTGCAACCTCACCAGAGGGTGACCAAAGGAAAAAGGCTCTCAGGGCTCTACCAGCCGCTGCTTCTCATCTCCTGCATGTGACTGTGCCTGCTCATGGGCATAGTCTGGATCTTTCCACTTCATGAACTGTCAGCAAAAGCCCAACAACTAGGTGTATTCAGGGCAATTGTTTGCGTTCTGCTTTAATCCCTTCTATCTGACCTTCGGGTGTAATTGTAAGCCAGGGTCAGGACAATGGGGTAGGGTGTGCGTGTTACAGCTGTTGTGGTGGGTGACACCAAAGAGATGCCTGATTCTGCCACTCCCCCTCAGCTGCCAGCCTCAGCAGGAGCTGCTTTTGGTCTCTTCCTGCTATGTTCTTTCCTCAGCCCCTTCAGAATCCGTGTTGTGGTGCCTGTGTACTGTGGGCTGAGCATGGCTCCTGTAGAATGATGAAGGAGTGGCTTGCTGAACAGTATCCACGCAGGGCTGCTGCCTTGCTACCCTGTTGGGCAAGGGTGAGCCCTGGTCTTGTGGTTCCTCTGTTTCCCACTCTCTCAGGTATTTACTGTTTGTTAGCAGAGATAGGGAGAATTGGAAAAAAAGCATTACAGTAGGTAAATCTCGATGACTCCAAAGTGAGTTTTGTAGACTGTGGTTCTCTGTCAGTGTTTGAGCTTGCACAGCTGGTGGTGCAGGGTAAACTTCACTTAGCAGTGGAAGGAACTCCTGATCCTGAGTGATTTGCACCCTAGATATGAGAGAAGAATTCAATTCTAGCAGAGCACTGGAGGGGGTGAGCAGTGGTGCCAGAGGTAATTTGTGGTGGTAATAATGGTGGATTTTAAGAGCAAAAAGGAAATGGGTAGGTGACTTCCTTACTTTTCTCCTCTTTCGAGCCAGTTACCAAGGCATCAGCCAGCTCTTTTTCTCTCTGCATTAGGACTGGGTTCAAAGTATCACCCTAAAGGATACCTTCAAAATACACAAGGTCTGGCTCTTGTCTAGTACATTCCTGACAAGGAAAATTCTATCCCTTTCTTGGTGTAGCAGCAGTGGTATTTCACTGGATCTACTGAATTTCTTGCTTTTATCTTCCCTGTCTTCATCCAGTGCTCCAGTTTGTCTTAAGAGAAGCAGCTTGTGTTTTACTCCCTTGATAAGTTTTCCTTTGCCTTCTCCTGTCTCTGGGCATGCAGGGGATATGCTGTATCAAGGATGAGCAC